TACACCTCAACATAAAGAAAACAAACATCTTCACAAATGGACCAATAAGCAACATCATGCTAAATGGAGAAAATATTGAAGTTGTCAAGGAATTCATTTTACTTGGATCCACAGTCAACACCCACACAAGCAGCAGTCAAGAAATCAAACGACATATTGCAGTGGGCAAATCTGCTGCAAAAGACCTTTTTAAAGTGTTAAAAAGTGAAGATGTCACTTTGAGGACTAAGGTGCACCTGACCCAAGCCATGGTGTTTTCAATCACCTCATATACATGGGAAAGCTGGACAATGAATAAGGAAAACCAAAGAAGAATTGATGCCTTCGAATTATGGTGTTGGCAAAGAATACTGAATATACCATGGACTGCCAGAAGAACGAACAAATCTGTCTTGGAAAAAGTACAGCCAGAGTGCTCCTTAGAAGGGAAAATGGTGAGACTTCATCTCACGTACTTTGGACATGTTATCAGGAGGGACCAGTCTCTGGAGAAAGACATCAAGCCTGGTGGAGTGGAGGGTGAGTGAAAAAGAGGAAGACCCTCAGCGAGATGGACTGACACAGTGGCTGCAACAATTGGATCAAACATAACAATGATTGTGAGGGTGGTGCAGGACCAGGTAGTGTTTCATTCTGTTGTACACAAAGTTACTATGAGTTGGAACCAACGTGATGGCACCTAACAACAACAACATATCCCTTTAGCTCAAATTGGGACCCACGAACTTGCCACACAACAACATACCTTTAGCTCAAACTGGGACCCAAGAACTTGCCACTGATCACAACAACCTACCTTTAGCTCAAATTGGGACCCAGGAACTTGCCACTGATCACAGGATACTACACCCTGCCCTTCTCAAGACACTCTTGTCTTCCTGTTTCCAGAACGCTATAACCTCTTCTTTTCACATGGCTGGTTTCTCACTTTCAGGTCTTTGGTTAACTATCCTCTTCTAGACGGACTTTCCCTGGTCCATCCTGTCTAAAGTGAGTCCTTCACCATTTGCCCCCATCTTTAGCTTACATCTCAACATCCTGATAATTTCTCTCATAGCACTTATTATAATAATTTCTCATTTTTCTCTCTCTCCCAAATCAGACTTTAAGTGCCAAAAGCACAGAGACTGAGTCTGTCTTGTTTTCTGGCGTATCCCACCACCTGGGATAGTAACTGGCACCACAGTAAACATTCAGTACATACTTGCTGAATGAATGCTATAGTATCAAAGGGGCCACAAAACTGCCAGGGATGTTCAGCATCAGCCTGGAAATGGGACAACAGGCCCTGAAAGCATCTGCATCTATTGAGTAATTCTTCTGAATCTTACCAATGGGATCATAACGTAAAAGAGTCAGTTTCTCCCGTAGTCGGCTTCTCTTGGTGTTGAAGGTGTAACCTGTTCCAGCTTGGCTCAGCATTTTCACCAGAATGGTTCTAAGATTAGAAAGTAAACTGTTACAAGCTGGGGATGTAGACTAAGATTGATCATAGGGGTAATGGCATATCTTGAGAATCTGTACAGCAGTATTAATTGTGGGACATCACTTAGCCCTAAGAAGGTTCTAAGACAGCCCACATTTCCCATAAAACACAATTTCAATGGTTTTGAATCCCAAAGTTTGTTCCATTGCAGAGTGACTTCGTAAAGACCTAAACAGAGCAACAAGCAAGCCATCCTGCGGGACTAGACTCTGACATCACCTCTCAGCAAAGTCAGGAGGGGGGAATACAAAAATACTGGTAACCCCAGCTGGCCAGTCAGGAAATCATAAAGACTGCTATCTCAGAAGAGCCCTTTTTTCCAGAGTATGAGCAATAGAGTATGTGGATTAAAACTTTTTAGATTGCTAATGTGCCAGACATTATTTTCTTCATATTTTACTTAAGTTACAGTCATCCAAAGTAAAAAGTTCATGTTTGCCTCATTGAACACTTATCTTTTAACACCTTGTACTGTCTGTCACTTTTTCACACGTCTTGTCTCTTCATCTAGACCATGTTATTTTATTTCTCATCTAATTCCAAAAAGAATTTGAAGCATCCAAGACTATATTACACATCTTTGCATATCTTTTAATGTCCAGCACAGGGCCTCATATGTGAGGCATACAATATATATTTGTTGTTTAATTAAGATAGGCAATAATCTGTCATTCATTCCACAAAAATTCAACAAATATCTATTTTACTCTGTGGAAAGCACAGCCATGGTGACACAGTGGTTAAGCGTTCAGCTGCTAACCAAAAGGCCGGCACTTGGAATCCACCAGCTGCTCCTTGGAAACCCTATGGGGGCAGTTCTACTCTGTCCTACAGAGTCACTAGGAGTCGGAATTGACTCGACGGCAACGGGTTTGGTTTTTGGTTCCTCTGGAAAGCAGTATGGGAAATCTGTGCCCTTTAGAACCTAACAGTATAGTATGGAAGGTGAGTTATGTACACAATGTGTATAAGGCAGACATATATGACAAATATCACAAGAAGGGTACAAAGAACATGAGAGGCAGGGAACCTCGACAAAGGCATGGGAGATTTCTACAGAACCTGAGGAGGGGGTAGATTCTAACATAAATAACTGGATTGTGGGAAAAGCTATGTGAATCAGTAAAAAATACTAGGGGAGAAAACAGTAACATGCATGTTTTTCATTCACTTTAATTTTTAAAAGTTTAAATGATTTTTGATATGTCTTGGGTTGTAAGCAAAGGCTTCTTTAGAATTTTCCTATTTTTAACATAAAACCTTACTTCTTGTCTACAAAATTTATTTTGAGATACCAGTTTGGTATTTATAGTCACTCTGGTACAGCATGGAATCTTCAATCTCTGCTATTTTTGAAATGCTTATACCATGAATATGAAGAATTACAAAACTCATTTAAAAAGGCTCTAAGGTTCAATCAAATCTGCTGGATTCTTGTAGTGGGCTCCAGACAAATGGCCCCTGGTCCTCGATTGGAGGAAATAGAAATATAGTCATAGTATAAATAGAACATGGGGTAAAGACAGATGGTTTGTTTAAGAACAAGACAGTGAGCTCATAAATCCTGGGATAAGACAGCAAGAGCTCCTTTAAGCAAAGTATTTCAACGTTCACTGAAGTAGGCTGGCTGGATGGGGGAAAATATTTTCTGAAAGAGTTCATAAGGCCAAAATAATTCATCAAGTAATCTCAAAACAACTTGTAGAAAATCAAGGTCAAATGCTTAGTTTAATATAAGAATGTACTGGTAGTGGTTGAATGAACAAATCTAACATAAACATGAAAAAAGAGAAAAACCTTTACTTACTTTGACTTGCTCTTGGCAACTTTTTGCAGAGAAGAAAGGTTGGAAGAGAAAATAAAAATATCAATTCATTATCTTTCTTATGCAAAGTTCATATAAAGGCCTGTCACAAACAAAAACATTTAATTCATAAACTATGCCATGAATTGTCATTCAAGTAACCATTTCCTAGGCATCAGGGGTCTAGGTGACTTGGAAGACAGACCTGGCGATCTGTTTCCGAGAGGTCACAGCCTTGAAGACCTGACGGAGCAGTTCTACTCTGTATATGCCTGGGGTCGCCATGAGTGGGAATCACTCGACCTCCACTAACAACAACAAGGGATTCTGGTAGGATTTTACAGAAGGGAGATTAAAAAGATCCAATCAGACCAACACAATTCTGGATGCAATGCTTTACACAGTCTCATTTCAGTTGGACTGGCTACCTTTTACATCTTTCTAAAGTAAGATCTCAATTTCACTCTTTTAAGGTTCAAATGTTTGCAATGAACAAGTCTGACAAGTTAACCTTTGCAAACTGTAACAGCCATTACATCAGGTGAAGAAGAGAAACTAAACCTAACCAGGAAGTCAGCCTGGTGCTGGGAAGAGCACTGACGGATCCAGAGGACTTCCTCCACTGCCCTTCTCAAGAACCGTTTCCTGATCTTCAGAGCGCGAAACGGGTACATCAGAAACTCTAAAGTCCTCCCAGTTCGAATATCCAGTGATTCTGCTGACACATCCCTACAGAGGGCAGGACGAAGGCACCCCAAGCCTCCTGACCAGACCCGACATCCATGCCAGAGGCAAGTGAGTCCGGTCTCCAGAATTAGCCCGCAGACCCCACGACCTCACTCTCCCCCGACAGAGGCGCGCGCGGAGCATGCTGGGCGCTGTAGTCCTGAAGGCCTGGGAAGTCCGCAGCGGCAGCTTCCCGGCCGGTTCGCCCAGCTTGCCCCTGCATCATCCTGGGGCCTGCCTGTCACAACCTCCTGCCCTCGCCGCGGCCGCCTCCTGCCCACTTACAAGAGACCACAGTTACGAACATGGCGACAGCACTCCTACAAAGTTGGTAACCTGCGCAACGTTCACCCAACAAATAACTGCTTCCGGGGCACAGGCCCGCTCTGAAAGAGGACTCCGGAAGTTTTCAGAAGACACGCCTCCTCCTAGACTAAACCCCGCCCCGACCCCAGAAAGGTTTTAATTCTTGTGACTTAGCGAGAGGCTTTGTTAGGTCTTAGGGTTTGCTGCCCAGGCTCTGATTCCTGCTCCGTGGTCAAAGTTAAACACTTCTTTAAATAGTCACAACTACCTACATTAGAGCCACAGGAACTGTGTGTTGTCTTTAGCTGCTCCAGGCTGTCAGGTCTCCACAGATTTCCTTAAAATGTTCCCTCCTTTTGGAAAGCCCTGCCCCCTGGTAAAGGCTTACTCTTAGTCGTTTCAGAGTTAGGAAACCCTCCTGAGTATCCCCAATCCCTTAATCATCTGTTGGCTTTCTGTGAGATCGGGACCCTGTGATTCTTAATAACTGCTGCATCCCAAGTACCTAGCACAGTGCCTGGCAGTAGGGGCTGAATAAATGTTTATTGAATTAAAAAAAAAGAAGTCTGTTAATTATAAAGGGTAAACTGAGATTGGGAGCACTCACATAATTTGCCTAGTATCACACAACTAGTAAGTAGTGAAGTCAGAATTTGAACCCAGATCTGTTTGATTCCAAAGACTGCCTTTCCTACTAGACACTGGAATGTACCACTTTGCCATCACAACTAATTCCTCATGTCTCTGCAAAGAGCCTGGGGTCCTCCAACACGAGAGACATCATTGCTAAACTCATTTCCCAACCAATAATCAGGACTTAGGGATTTTTCTCTAATTTGTGATTTTATCTATAAAAGTCTTACAAATGGGTGAAATAAAATTTAATCTCATGGATTATCTTCACCAAAAACATTTAAGTTATTTAAAAGAGAAAATCCAGCTCTCTAGTGCAATACAAAATTTTAAAATTAAGACTGTCCTTGCCCTTAGTACCTTTAATAATTTTTCCCCCTTCTAATAGTTTTTAGTACTTACTATTGATACACCCTTCCTCCTTCTCCATAGCCCCAACTCCAACAACTCAGCAGCCTCAATGTGCCCAAATGCTTCTTACCTTGTGCAGTACAGCTGTTGGCAAGGAAGAGCTTCAGGTGTTCATGAGGGTATGGTTTCTTATCTGGGGAATTCCTTTAGAGGGTTTATAAGAAAAGAACACTGTACTGGAAGCCAGGTAATATGAATTCTAGTCTTTATTCTGTCACTTGGAAAGTCACTTCGATCCTTCAAGTCTCAGTCACCATGTCTGTAAAATGTGGGAATTGGATCAATGGTTCTCATCCCTGATTGTGCATCAGTCATTTGTGATCTTTTAAAAGATTCAGATTCTAGGGTAAGGCCCAGCGTCTGTACAATATCGTTTTTGTTGTTGTTGTTTTTCTATAAAGAAAATTTTCAAACATCAAAAAGTTGAAAGGATAATACAATAAACTATATATCCAATTCTACAAAAGTTAACTTATTTGTTTCATATATATATAGATAGATAGTATATATATTTTTATATGGTGGGGTTTTTTTGGCTGAGTCATGTGAAAATAAATTGCAGACATGACCCTTCTCCACTAAGTACTTTAGCATCTAACTCTCAAGAATAAGATTATTATGACCACAATACTATTTTCATTCCTAAGAAAATTAATAATAGTTTCCTAATACCTACACGTAGTAGTTACGAGCTCAGCTGCTAACCAAAAGGTTGGCAGCTCAAATCCACCAGTCGCTCCTTGGAAACCCTGTGGAGTAGTTCTACTCTGTTCTATAGGGTCACCATGAGTTGAAATCGACTTGACGACAACAGGTTTGAGTTTTGTTTTTATTTTTTTTAATAACCTACTACCATCAAGTCTTTTCTAACTCATAACAACCCTACAGAACAGAGTAGAACTGCCCCATAGGGTTTCCAAGGCTGTAAATCTTTACAGAAGCAGACTGCCACATCTTTCTTCCATGGAGCAGCTGATGGGTTCGAACCACCAACCTTTTGGTTAGCAGCCAAGCACTTTAACCACTGGGCTACCAGGGCTCCTTAGTTTCTTAATAACTGGTCTATATTCAATTTGTCTTTTATAATTGAATTTCTTCAAAACAGTATTCAAAACAAAATAGTTTCATGCATTACCTTAGGTTGTCATAAATCTTTAATCTCTTTCAAATCTAAAACAAAGCCCTGCATTTTTTCCATGACATTAATTTTTGGGAGAGACTGGGCTAGTTTTCCTGTGGTGTATCCCATATCTGGATTTGTCCGATTGTTTCATTATGGTGTCATTTATTTGTGCTATTCCCTGTATTTCCTAAAAATAGAAGCTACATCTAAAGGCTTGAGAAGATTCCACTGAAAACATTTTTGACAAGAGGACATCATAGGTGATGCTGTAAACTTCATATTGACATCAGGAGGCCCAGAGTGTAAGGTCGTCCAACTAATAGTGCTAAGTTTGATGATCTCTAGATCTCTCTGTTGTAAAGATACTTTTTTTTTCTCTTTTCTATTTTTTGAGGGCTAATACTTTGTCACTATCAGAATATCCTGTTCCCCAGCAACCTTTCACCTCATGGTTTTATCATCTATTGAGGATCCTTGTTTGACATTCAGGGGTGCACAGTGGTAATTTTCTAATTTCTGTCATTCCTTCTTGATTTATTAGCTGGCTTTCTTCTGTAAAGAAGAACTTTCCATCAACAACTGAGACTGAACTAGAGGTCCTTCTAAAAAGGAAGAGTAAAATGTTAATTTTTCCTCTTTAATTGGCAACATTCAGAGTAAGGAATTGGTGTAAGAGTCACTTCCAATGATGGCAGAAAGGTTTTATTTAATTTTCTCTTTTTTATTCTTTCTTTTCTAGTAGCACTATAATGGATTTTTATTTATTCCTTGTTTTATAATCAGTCATGGTCATTATTCTTTTTGATGCTCAAATTTTCCCACATTGGGCCATTGGGAACTCCTTCAAGCTGGTCCTTTTGACCACACCCTCATCATTCTTTGAACAATTCCTTGCTTTGTCACGGCTGTCTCAGGTATGCTTTGTACTTCTGCCGCAGTCCTGGAATTAGCTATTTCTCAAAGATGTTCTGGTCCCTTTTTGTGTAGAGAAGCCACTCTCTGAACTCTGAACACTTTTTTTTTTGTAATTAATTTTTTTTTATTGTGGTAAAAAATATATATATAACAAAACATTTGGCATTTTTACATTTTTTATTTGTACAAATTAGTGACATTAATTAGAACACTTTTTTGACAATGATTCAGCTGCACAACCACTGGAGTAGATTGGTGGATTTCAAGCTTTATTTTAAGCCATAGGATGTTCATTCAAATGAAATCTGTCTCAAAATCTCAGAATGAGAAATAAACAAACCTGCAGTTCCTAATAGATGTCTGCTGAACCCTGGGCCCAGTCTGAGAAGCACTGGGCTATGGGATGGCCACATTGTCTTCCAGCCCTATTGCTCTGGATTCTATTCTGGGGTTTCAAACCCCACCCACCGGTGAGCCTCCTGCTATATTTCCCCTGTGGCAGCTTCTTTCCCACACTTCCTGCCCATGCAGAGGCCTGGTCCATGCAGGAGAGAGCCCTGTATGCACCTTCTCAGCAGCAGCAGGAACAGCCTGGAGCAGAAGACTACCAGGGACTTGGGCTGCTTCAGAAATGATTCAGGATCAAGGTTTTAGAGAGTGCAGGCAATCCTCCCGTTATGAACGTCCAATTTACAGACAACTCATACTTAAGAACAGACTGCCATAAAGTCTTTTATATTAACATTTTGAGTTAGATACATACAATGATTCGTAATAACGAATGCACGCACTGCTTTGTGAAGATCATGAAAATGTTGCACAGTTTGGCAGTGTTTCTTAAGCGTTTTATATGCATAAACCTGTTGCCATTGAGTTGATTCCAACTCAAAGCGACCTTATAGGACAGAGTAGAACTGCCCCATAGGATTTCCAAGGAAAGACTAGTGGATTTGAACTGCTGCTGACCTTTTTATTAGCAGCTGTAACTCTTAACCACTATGCCACCAGGGCTCCTTTATATGCATAGAAAGGTAAAATATATACTATATACTAAGACAAACATTTGACTGATGCTAAATAAGAACTGTATGTACCTGTTCCGATCTACCTACAAATTCAACCTCAAGGCAGACTTAGGAACACATCTGGTTCGTAAGCCAGGGACAGCCTGTATTTCACTCTGAGAGTCTGTCATCAATCTTTCCTCTCTTCCCTCTCCTCCACTTCATCCAAAAGGTCTTTGTAAGGGCCCCCAGTGACCTCTACACTGCCAAATCCCTTTGTCAATTCTCAGGCCTCATTTTCCTCGGCATCAGCAACGTTTTACACAGTTGCTCACTCTCTACTACTTTCTTCACTTGGTGTCCAGGCACCCACTCTATTTGTTCTCCTCCTACCTCATTGACAGCTTTCTCTGTCTTCACCCCACCCACCTCTAAATGGCTTAGGCCTTGGGCCTCTTCTCTTTCCTATCCGCCCTTATTTCCTCAGTAATCACACCTAGAAGCATGGTTTTTAAAAAGTCTAAGGCTGCAGATGGAGTCCCTGGATGGTGCAAAAGGTTAAACACTAGACTACTAGCCGAAAGGTTGGCAGTTCTAACCCACCCAGAGACACCTTGTATGAAAGTCCTGGCAATCTGTTTCCTGAAATATGGAGCAGTTCTACTCTGCACACATGGGGTCTCCATAAATCAGAATCGACTCAGTGGTAAGTGCTACAGGCTGAAGACTTCCAAATTTATATCTCCAATCCCATCCTCTCCTCTGAACTCCAGATTCATGTATTTAATGGCCTATTTGGCATCTCATGTCCAAAATACAATTCCTGCTTTTCCACACCTCCCTTAAAACTTGCTACCCCTCTTTCCACCCAGACTGTATGCGGCAATTCCATTTTTCCAGTTGCTCAAGTCAAAAGCCTTGGAGTCACCTTGACATCTCTCTCCCGCAGCCTATATCTAATGCATCAGTGAATCCTGTCACTCAAATGTCACTCATCAGTGAA